AAGGGACAGAGAGGTTTGGTTGGTTTTACTGGAGTCTAAATCACTCAACAGCAACATGCAACCCAATGGCCTTATCCTGCAAAGTGTCAAAAGCTCTCTAGTTCCATGTATATCACCCACTCCTATTGGCAAAAAGCAGCAGAGGAGAAAGGATGTATATTTAGGGTCACCTGAATCTTTATGACTGGGGGTCAAGGGAGAGGTGGGAGAGGGAGGAATATAAAATACTAGTGGACTACTTCCTTCCTTTTCCTGCACCATCTACTTCTCCTTCACTTTGTCTTGTTGTTTCTTCCTCTGCTGGTGTGCAGAAGTGCAGATTGTGTTGCTACCTAGCCAGCTGCCTAATTTCCACCCAGACTGAAACAAGCTCAGGCCTGTGTGACTGACACCTATTGCGAATGATTCCCTCCCTTCAGCCCGAGTGAGTGACTGTGACAACAGCTCAGTAGCATAACTGCTAGCTATTCTTCTAATTCCAAGTGCTTGTTCATGCCAGCATGTGGGCAGCAGGTGTGAGCATCTTTTTGAGTGCAGGCATATGCTGTATGCAGGACCTTTTTGAATACAGAGATTTGCATATTTGCATATTTCTACCTGTTGCTTCTTTTTTTACTGATATTGAAAGAAACAGTGGATGGCAGATGGAGCTGAGATGTGGAATTCTGTGTAGAGCTCTAAATCACCATGATGTGTACTGCATTTAATTGGTTTGTTTCTGAACAATCACTTCAAAGTTAACCATTTGTCTGTTGGGAAGGACTGTTGTCTGTTGCTGAAAATCCATGACTAGGAACCAAGACACCCATTCTACTCCTGTCATTGGTGTGGTACTTAACTTTGATCCCAAAAGCTTGCAGAAAAGGACAATTTTCTTGCCATTTTCCAGTTTGTCTAATAAAAGGTATCATTTTGGAACCAAGAGTTCCAGTTTTTTGTATGTCTTTTTGTCTCAGACCAACACGGCTACCAAGTACACCCCTGAAACATGGAAGATGCTGAATTTTAACTGATTTTGGATTTTGAAATTCATTGCAGAACAACAAAGAATTTTTTTTTACCTCCCTGCCTGCCATCTGACACCTCTAGGGAAGCAATTCTACCTGATCAACACATCAAAGAGCTACTCAACACAGCTCACAAAGACATTCTCATGGACCCAGAGGGACAGCCTTCCATCTTCAGCTCCCTCTGTGCAAAAATGAATTTTATTTCCTACCTATGGGGACTTTTTACCATCTTGTACCATCTACACTTTTTCCCAGAGCCTGACAAAGGGACTTTGATCCTGAAAGGACAATTTTCTTGCTATTTTCCCGTTGGTCTAATAAAAGGTATCATTTTGGACCTAAGGGTTCTAGTTTTTTGTATGTATACTTAACAAGTCATTCAGGTCTTGCTTTTCTAAAGTGGCCTCTAAATTACAGTGGCCCAGTGCTGGGGCCTCTAACTTGATGTCCCTGTGGCCTGATTTTGAGAAATGGTAGAACACCCTTTCCACACTCCTTGGAAGAGAGGAGGCACTGACCAGTAGCCCTTTGGGCACTGGAAGAAACTTTACATGAAGCACAACTTGATTTGGAAATAAACACATGCACTCTCACTCCACCTCTCAGCACACACAACCACCCTTCTTCCCTTTTCTCCCTGGGCCTGCATATATTTGCAGCAACTGTAGCTTATATGCTCACACTTGAGCTATCTTTAATTAACTAGTTCAGGTTCAGGTAGCTATGTGGTTAAGGGGTACTAAGAACATCAAAACAGAGTTCAGCATGGGCTGAAAGATATGGCCAAGAAGCAGAGTAAATACTCTGCTTGTTAGCTCATAGTGAGCAGATTCTGTCAGCAACTGAGCTGGCTAGTTTAAAGGTTGCGGGGCTATGTCCACACTACAGTCACAACAACCTGCCACAAAATGCAAAATAGTGTGTCTCTTGCTTTCTCTGGGACTTGAGACCTTATCCTGTAAGATGAACAAATGTTAATCAGCTCAGTGGAACAGTCACATGGTAAGGCAAAAAACCTGTTCTTCCTGTCCCTCACCTGCACAGCTGTGACTTGCCATTAGAGGCTTGGTGAGTAGGGGCAGGACTAGAAGCTAAGGCAGGGGTGGGCAAAATACGGCCCGAGGGCTGGATGTGGCCCTCCAGGCCATTCTATCTGGCCCGTGGGGCCCCTAAAAATTTAGAAAATTAATATTTAGCTGCCCCTGACTGCCTGTCATGCGACCCTTGATGGCTTGCCAAAACTCAGTAAGCGGCCTTCTGCCTGAAATAATTGCCCACCCCTGAACTAAGGGAAAGACAATCTCGATGCTCCTGCTGTGCAGAGCCAGTACTGCAGCTGCAGTGTCTCCCACCACCCCTCATACTAGCTCTGCTCCCAGTGTAGCAAGCTAGTCTGGGGTAGGGGACTGCCTTCGCACTGCATCTCACACCAGCCCTGTTCTGTCTCCCCACACCAGAGCCAGATACGGATACTGTCTTCTGAGATACAAGAGAGATGGCAATGCTTCCTATGCTGTGTCTCACCAGCAGGCAACACAAACCTCCCCCTTTCTAAAGAAGAGTTGGAGTGTTGTTGTAGCTGTGATGGTTTAGAAAATATGCAGGAAACAATGGTTCTTTTGGAGATCTTTTATTGGACCAACTGTGTAGCTGGGAAAGATGTTAGACAAGCTTTCAGACACAAAGCTCTTCTTCATGACTGAATGTTTGTTTAGCATCTATACAGTTGGTGCCCTGAAAGACATCACAAAAAAACCCATTGCTGCCTAAATAAGGGCACTTGTGGCTATAAAAGAGTAACATGTAAGTGCCATAGGGAATTGATCATTCATCTTCCGGTGCCTGCAAGAATTCCAGTTGCAAAAGCCTGGAAAAGAAGTGACACCTTTAAAATCATTGACTGGTTTCAAATTTTTTGGAAAGTTTTAGTAAAGGAAAAGCTGTCCTATCAAATCAGTGTTCTACAGATGAGATGTGAAAATCTAGTAGAAATTTTTGGAATTTGCTAAAGAAGAATCTTTTCCTCCCCCAACCCAGAAAGCTTGAGACATTTTTTGAATGTAGAAGCTCAAGTTATATGAGCTAACACTTGGGAATGTATTTGAGGTTTGTGGGTAGAGATTAGTGGTGGATACTGGAATTTTGATTTTGTGGAGTTCTGGAGAGGAAGGAGCGAATTAGTATATAGAGCTGAAGAAACACAAATGTTAACATCAGTGGAGGCACTGGGGAGCTGTCAAGGGGCTGTGGGGGGAGAGGAAAAGAGCACAAGACATCTGTGGACATAGATTTGGGTTGTGGTAGTACTATTTGGTGGAAGACTGGTATATGTCTGTGCATGTTTTAGGGGACTGGGTGTGTTTTTTGAATGTTGGATCTGTTATTTTATAAGCTGGGTTCATTAATATATAAAGTTAAATAAAAAATAAAAGATCCTCTCACTTGCTCTGTCTCTCCAACTGTGCCTATAGTGCAATGGCAGCATGCTCTGGCTGAGATGATTCCAAGCCTACCTTCTCCCCCTCACAAGCTCCAACCCCAGATAGACACTGGTGAGGCTGCTACAAGCTGCTCTCAGGATGGTCACAGAGGGGCAAGTCAAAGTGGCCTCAACAGGATATTTCTGGATTTGGTGTATCACAACAGGAGCAGGTGGGTAGGTATGGGACATGCTGCTGCCATAGTGCTCACCCACACGCACACATACAGCAATATTACCTCTGACAACTGCTGCAGGAATCCTGTAAGAATAAAAATCCAAACAAATCTCTCCGGCATCCACAGGCCAGCAGCACCTGTGGGCCAAAATGCATGCAGTCTCTGCCCTGCCTGCTCTACCACCCAGACTGCTCATGTGCTTTCTGACCATGTGTGTACAGGTCCATGCTGTGACCCCTGCCTGCCATAGCAGGGAACTGGACTAGATGATCCCCTTCAGACACTTCAGAAATAGGCATTTCATCCTAACAAGAATGTTTGTTGCCCACAGGTTGTGACAGAGAACACACTTTGCCATGTCCTAGAGGTACTGCCAGCTCACTGTAACTAATTTTTCCAATTCTGACACCAATTCTGTGGCCACCTAGGTTTTAACCATTGTTCCTATGTTGTACACATACCACAGCCTCATCCTGAAGACAGAAATGACAGAACTAATATCTTTATGCCTCATAAAAACACCCCCACCACACAGACACAATTAGAACCTTCTCTGACTGTTGGCATTTCACGGCCTATGAAAAACTAGAAAAGAGTCTGAATGTCACCCAGCAGAGGGCAATGGTGCATGTACATATACACAAAAATCAATTATTAGTAATATTACCAACTCTCAGAAGCATGGACAGACATTTCCACCAAGAAGTTGAGGTTCCAGTGCTCATTACATACAAACATGTAGGTTCCATCACACCGACGTACTCTGTACTCCCCATATCAGGGCTGTCCAACATATAAGCCCCGGGGTAGCACCAACAGGGGCCGCACATGGTTTGTGCAGCACAAAGCAAGCCATGTAGGACACTCCCTCCACCCCCCAACTGCACCACATGCACATACAGGCCTCGGCCCACTGTTGCACCTGGCATCCCACCCCCCCACTGTATAGTGTGGGCACGAGTGCAATTCCCACCCTACCCCCACTGGAATGTGCGGGGATGTGAGCATGAGTCACTTTGGCCCCTTGTGGGCACCCCCCCCTTCTACTGCACAGTGTGCCCCCCACCATTGCACCACATGGGCTCAGTCCCCCATACATCTGTTTCTCTCCCCCTTACCCCTACACATGGGCCCATACTCACCCTCAGCTCACAGGATGGCCCCTTCTGCTGGGGTGAAGACAGGAAGCAGCAGCCAGAGAAGAAAGCGAGAGCTGGAGTAATGTGAGTTGTGCCCAGGCATGAGCCTGGGGAGTAACCCCTCATGGGTCACCACTTGGACAGCCCCACCTCATACTATAAAGTGCAGAGCTCTGTATGGCCACATCCTTACCAGCTTGGTTTTATCCATAGCAGCGAGGACAGCTATGTTCAGTGTTTCCAAAGCAGAAAGTACATTCCTGTATTCTCCAAGGTATGTTGAGAAATAATCTGAATGAGAGAGGAGACCACAGTTAGATTCCAAAGCAGTTCCTTCCAACTCCGCTTAGCTGCACACTATTCCCTAAGAAAACTTTACCTTGCTCCTTGGCCCTGCCCAGCGATGAATGTCAGGCTCTGTTGCTACCTACTAGCCATTGGCAGTGCCAGACATAATGACATCCTGATTTGCTCTCAGCTACATTCCTGTCAGTCTCTCTGAAGTCAGTAAAATAACTCTAGATTTGCGCAAATGAAAAAGAACGCAATTCCTTTTCCAAGGGACAAAATGTCCCATCCAAGGGAAAAAAGCCATGAGCTTCAGTTTACAGTTTTTAGGATACCATCCTCTTACACACTGGAACTGTCAGGCTAGATTCAGCCCAAGCCCAGTAAGCCATTTCTGACAGTGGCCTGTGCCCAATGCTTCAGCAGAAGGTGCATAAAAACCTGTAGTGGACAGTTACCAAATAACCTGTCGAGACTAATCCATGTTAGCAGCATGGAGTCATTGGCCTACTTACCACACAACTTCTCCGTTTCTAAATTGCTGTAAGAAAAAAAAAACTCTCATTAGATGATCAGTCTGGTCTCAAGAGAAACAGGTGCTGAGAACAGCATTCTGGGAACGGCTGAACTCTTTAGTTCAAATATTGCTCATCAGTGCGTCTTTAAAAGTGCTGTTAAAAATGAGTCACACAAATTTTCAAGGGGGCATCAATCTGAGAGAGGTTCAGTAGCTGCAGCTCCCAGCCACCTTAATGGGAGCAACAGTTGCTCTGGAGCAGAGGGGCAGGTAGCAATGTTAAACCTGTCTTGGTTTTTGTCTGTTTTTACAAATTATCCCATAGTTCTGATTCTCTTGGTAACATTTTCAATGATAAACAAGAGATACATACCAAGGGAGTAGGGCATTTGTGGTCTGTTTCAAAGCAGTAGGGCTAGTGGTCTGTTTAGTAATGTGGAAACACTCCTTGGAATTCATTTTTAAAGTAGGGTTCACCCAGAAAAACAATAAGTTAAAAAGGCTTTTAGTAGCTCTGGCTCTTGAACTTCTTACCACCAACTCAGCCTTGCCAGCTCCCAACAAATTGGCCTCAGCCTCTTCCCATGTGCTGGAGATCACATTCATCCCTACCAGTCACTAGTGGAACACTGGGATACTGCAGTTGATCCAGGGGCAATGGCCTTCATCCTGACACAAAGGGCCCAAGACAGAGGAGCTGATTTCTAGGCACACCATTTATGCAAGTGTGGAAACCTCAATCCAAACTGAAATATGAGAGTCGTCTTGCGTACCCAGAAAGGGTAAGGGCAGAATGACAGGGTGGTCCCATTTCAAAGACAGCAGTGCCTTAGACACCATTCAGTCTCTCTAAAGTATGTGCTCAGGTGACATTTGGCTTCTTGCCCCTTTCTCAAAGGGTGAAACATGGTATCCTTCTGCTTATGGACTGGATATTCATCTGGCACAATACTTTACAGCCATGCTACCGTGGCTCACCCAAGTGTTTGGCACCTGTAAGCACCCTGTAACCAGTGAGTTGATTAGTCTGAAAAAGTGTTCTTGAAACGAAGTGTGATGTATTCCCCATCTATTAGAGGCATACAAAGCAAAGGGTACGGACAATCAAGTCCTATCTACATGGTTCCCAAACCATATAATTTTCCTTGAGAGCTTTGGTACATTTCATTAGGCACAGTCACCTCCATCTCTGGACTGGGAGAGCAGACAGCCATGCACTTCATGCCTTCTCTGTCTCTGTCAGACTCTAGCTGCTGCTGCTGGTCTGTTCCTGCAGCCTTGATCCTAGGTTTATCTCAGGACCAGTACACTTCATGCCAGCATAAATGTAACCAGGGCATTCCCCAATGAATAGCTTCCCTGACAGTTTCCCTAGGAACCCCTGCCATTCTCTTATCTTTGTCTTTTTCATTTCCTGCTAGTTTCCCTCTTACAGCCTCCACTGATTCAACTCTCTGAAGACAAGCAGGGAAATACCGCTGTGGTAACAGGTACACATGTTATTTATCCCTCTTCAGAAGCACCAAGCTTGGTGGGTACTGATGATAAGAGCAGAAGGGGAATGATAGTCAGCCTGCCCATTTCCCAAACTCCTGATGGGTATAGGACAGAGACAAGAATGGGAGCTGCAGAATCTCACAGAAGTCCCAACCAACCACTAACATTTTCTTATTTGCACAACCGCAAATAAAACAGAAATACAAAACCTTCAGTTCCTGTTCAGACACTGACCACATCCCAGCAGTGAGGCCAGGCACCATACTTGGAGGAAGCCAGCTTCCAATCCTCAGGTCTTTTGGGAAAAGTGGAAATGGATGGTGCAGCCTTGTATTCATGAATTAGTCTTTCCCTGTCTGTAAGGCATGGAAAGAAAAGCACGCCCCTTCTTTAGTGGCCATAAATGAATGTTTTCTATACTTTTGCTGGATTTAAGGTATGTTCATGCATCAAAACCACTTCAGACCTTAGCAGCAGAGTCCAACACTGGGTAAAATACTCCATAAAAAAAATTAGAGGAAATAATGGGAGAACAGAGACTGGTTAAATTTTCTGACAGCTAATTTCATGTCAGAATTCCTCTACTGATTGTTAACTGAAGTGGTTTATTCAAAGAGATGGTCAGGTAGTAACATCACCATCAAAATGCTTTCACCATCATTCTCAAGCTAATGTAATATAATGATCACTTACATTTTTGCTTTCTGTCTCATGGAGAACAATATTTCCCAAAGGATCTTAAAGCACTTTGCAAACTATCATAGGAGGAGATGGTAGCATGACCTATTATTAAGGTTGCTCAACATTTTTCAAGACTTCAGCCTTTTCATATTTTTGCCAGGATTCAACTATTTAAGATACATTTTTCCATGCTGGATGTCTGCCTCAAAATTATTTTTCCCTAGAAAACATCAGGCAAAACAGTTTGGTCTTTCTGAGAATGAAACTAGGAAAAATTCTGTAATGCTAAAAGCTCAAGAAACTTCACTGAGATTGGTGGGCATCCCTTCATTCAGGATATATGTAAAATGCAACTAGGTCTCTTTATTGCCACAGGAGTCTCTGCCCAAATCACATGCTATAGCAAAGGCTAGTGTAGGAGCCATGGAATGGAGTCACATGGCCCAGATACAAGGGCTGGGGAATAATTAGATCTTATGTATGTGCCTGGGTGTGTGAGAATGAGTCATTACTAGGCATCCTGGTTTTCCCTGATAAAAAAAATTGCAAATTCTCTGTTCCACCCTCCCCCCCCACCCTCACCCCCAAAATCCATGATTAAAATAAATGGGCCCAAACAGCCCTGCTGGTGCCCCTCACTCCCCCCACCACAGCCGCCCCTTGCTCCCCTCCACAGCACACTGCCCCCCAGTCCTGCTAGAGGGGGCCCCCAGCTGCCAGGGGACCCCCCAACTGCTATATGGTCCTGGCCCTTGTCCACAACCTCTGCCTCTGGAAGGAGGCCATAGCTGCTGTAGCCTGGTGGAGTCCGGCTCCCCCTTACTGCCTGCCTGCTGTGGGCTCGGGTGCAGGATGCTGGCTCCCCACTCCTGCACGCCCTCCCCATGGGGCAGGGGGGACCCGTACCCCCACATTTGAATGTGGGGAGGGCTGCATGCTTGGGTGGGGGTGGGGCAGCTTCCTGGCACTGCACATACTCTCTGGGAGGCAGGGGGTACCCACGCCCCTCAGAACTGCCATGCGCATGGCAGGCACAAGCTGCAGGCTCAGGCTCCCACCCTGCTCCCCTACCCTGGGGCGTCTGCAGCCTAGTGGGCATGATCCAGCATGGCAGGGAACAGTTGGGCTGTGGGGAGAAGCTGCCTGCCACTGTGAGCTCTGTGCTGCCTTGGCGACACTCCTCCTGCGCATATGGCTGCAGTGAGGGCAGTGGACATGTCACCAGGGCAGCGTGGAGCTCACACTGGCAAGCAGCTGCTCCACATGGCCCCACTGTTCCCTGCCACACCAGGTCATGACCGCCGGGCTGCAGAGGCCCCTGAGTAGGGCAGTAGGGTGGGAGCTTGAGCCTGCAGCCTGTGCCCATCTCCACCCCTGCCCCATGCACATATCTGGGGTGCACTGGTCTCCCCTGCCTCTTAGGATTGTGTGCAGTGCCAGGGAGTTAGCCCCGCCAGCCCCACCCTCTAGACAAGCTGCCCACAGCCCCGTCCCACTCTCCACTAGGGCCCTGCAGCCACATATTGCAGCCCCAAGCCCTATGCAGAGCATGGCTGGTCAGCAGCCCCAATCCCAGCCCCAGCCCTGCCCAACTCTCCCTCTCCCTCCCTACACGGGCTCAATAGCACCTCCCCCACCTACTTACCTGCAGGAGCTGCTCTCCTGACTTCTGGGGACATGTGCATGTACAGCCCTCCTCCCACTCCCTCCCAGCTCCCTGCAGGCTGGAACTCTGCCAGCCTGCAGGGAGCTCATGGCAAAACTGCAAAATCTGCAGGCTTCTCCAGTAAAATGAGAAATCCACGTTTGCCTCCGGTAAAAGGTAAAATCCATGGTTTACTCAGTTTCTCTGTGGGAAATGGAAAACCCAGATCCCTGGTCATCACAGAAAAACAGAAAGAAGTAAACAAAAAGCACAGTTAGGGAAGGACTTAACACCATAACCCTGTGAAAAACTGAGAGGGCTTTTGGGCAAAATGTAGTCTGCCCTAGGACTGTACATGAAGAAACTGCTTTTTTACTGTCTGATTGCTCCTGTCCTTAGAGAAATTAACTTTATATGTACTCACTGTAAATGAACATGCCATCATCAGCTTCTCTTTACTTACAAGATGCCAAGTTTCATTTAATTGCTTAGGTCAAAAGGGGTGATGGTACAGTGTTGCCTTCATGTTCACATTTTTCTTGCAGCTTTTAATTTATTTATTTTTTTTGGTGATGCTCCAGTACCTCCTTCTTCCAGAGAAGGGATCCAGAATTTGGTCAATGGAGGCCTTTGTAGGTATGTATACATTGTCTCTATACCACACTCAAGAGTACTGCAGTGAAGAAAGAAATTTCCATTCCACATGTGCTATATCCCAAAACAGATGCAAGGCAGCTGCTTTAGGCGTGGTACTGAGCACATGCCAATATGCACACCTGAAATAATAAGCTCACTGTTACCTGGCCAGCACTTTTAAAGGAAACTCACTGATGGCTAGAAAATGATATTTAGAGGTTTGCTTTTAAGAACTGGCTTGTAAGTAAAGTAGATTTTGCATCAGAACAATGGTTCAGGGGAATGGCAAGGGTTAATTGGTTTCAAAAAGCTTGTTTGTAACAATTTCACAGCCTTCAAGGCAGACACTGTGTCTGAGACCAAGGGACAAACAGGTTCGGAAATTTGCAGCGTTTCCTGAAAATCCATAACAAAACACAGGCTTGCCACCTTGGCACCATGTCACAGTGCTCAGCTCCAGATCTTCTGGGATTTCCAGTTTTGGTGGATGGACCAAATTAGGAGTCTGGGCATGCCCAAATTAAGACACTGGTAAATGACCAAATTAAGATGTATGCATGTGATG